GAGCGTTCTTTGTGCTATCTTGTATATATCACCGTGTATTTTATTAAAAGAATTAGATTACTCTGACACAATCTATTGGCCAAAGATGATCCTAACTGTGAGAATTTAAGAGCAACAAGACCAAGCAGCAACAAAATGATTCTTTGGTTTTCTTAAATTGGTATCTGGGAATAAAAGGCTGAAGATGGGTGTATCCAGCTGAAAAGAGAAGGCATAATGGGAAAGTTATAATGGAAATCTTTCATGGTACAGTCTGTCTATAATTGGAGTTCTGATTACAGCTGACTATAATCATTTTTAAAAAGACCTACTTAAATGAAGAACTATGCATTGCAATGAATCATCTATTTTCTTAGTTTAAGCAGTGCATAAAGTTACCTGGGCAGGTTGGTCTTTTATATCGTGTGTACTTTTATGTATAAGTTTATTGACTAGTGGAGGTTTCTTTATCTGAATTGCCATTTCAGATTTTTTAGATGGATTTTATTTTTCTGTTGCCTAGTTTCTCTTTCTTTTTGACGTGTTGAAGATATAACAATATACTTTGGTGATTTTTAAAAATGTATTGAAAATATCTTCTCTAATCTGTGGCTTATTTTTTAAAAAAAGTTTATTGGAGTATAATTTACATACCATAGAATTCAACTGTTTTAACTATGCAATTCAGTGACTTTTAGTAAATTTCCAGAGTTATGCAAGCATAACCACAGAATCTTAGGACTTGCCCATCTCCCCTTAATGAAACATTATGCCCAACCCCTCTGGCAAGTCTTAATCTACTTTCTGTCTGTATCTATTTGTATTTTCAGGATAGTTCATACAAATGGAATCATATAGCAGATTGTCTTTCGTAATTGGCTTCTTTCACTTACTATGTTTTCAAAGTTGATCCATTTGTAGCATGTATTCATACTTTATTCCTTTTTACTATGTAAAAATATTCCAGTGTATGGATGTGTACCTCATTTTATTTATCCATTCATTGGTTGATGAGCATTTTAGTTGTTTCTACTTTTTAGCTATTGTGAATAATGCTGCTATGAACATTTGTGTACAAATTTTTGTGTGAAAATATATAGTTTTTTCTCTTGAGTAGATAACCAGGAGTGGAATTGCTGGGTTGTAGAGTAAATCTATGTGTTGTTCCTCATCTTTGTGGGAAGCATTCATTTTTCACCATTAAATATGTTAGCTGTAAGGTTTTTGTAGGTTTAGATTGAAGAAGTTCTCTTCTGTTACTAGATTTACTTGGAGGTTTTTTTCCCCCCTCATTATTTATAATGAATAGATGTGAAATTTGTCAGGTTATCCTTCTTCATCTATTGAGATCCTATGGGTTTTCTCTTTAAATTTGTTATATTGTTAATTAATTACAGTGCTTTATTTTTCAGCTATTCCCTAAGTAAACCTCTTTTAGTCAGATGTGTTACATTGTTGGCTTCAATGTAGTAATATTTTGTTAAGGATTTCTGTATCTTTGTTCATAAGCGATATTACTTGGTAATTTTCTTCATATGACTGTCTGATTTTTGCATCAGGATAATTTTGGCCTCATAAAATGAATTGGGAACTGCTCTTTCCTCTAATGTGTGTGTAGGGTAGGTATTATTTCTTTCTTAAATGTGGACTACAATTTACCATAAAGTCATCTATGTAGGCCTACAGTTGTTTTTTGTGGAGAGCTTTTTAACTACAAATTCAATTCTTTTAGTATGTACACAGGTGTTCAGGTTTTCTGTCACTTCCTGGGTTAGTTTTGTTTTTCAAGAAATTTGTCTATTGTCAGATTTACTATTTTTTCTATTATAACCTTATTTTCCTTTTAATAACTGTAGAATCTGTGGTGAAGTGTATACCCTCTTTCATTCCTGATATTGATAATTTGGTCTTCTCTTTTTTTTCTTGATCAGCTTCGTTAGAAGTTCTTTAGCTTCATTGATCTTTGCAAAGAATCAGATTTTTTTCCCCATGGATTTTTTTTCTTCGATATGTTTTTCTGTTTTATATTTCTTCTATTTCCTATTTCATTGATTCCCAGTTGTCTTTATTTGCTTCTGCTTAGTTTGTGTTTAATTTTCTCTTCTAATTTCTGAAGGTGGAAACTTAGATTATTGGTTTTCTACCTTTTCCCTTTAATATAAGTATTTAAAGGTATATATTTCTCTTAGTATTGCTTTAGCTGTATTTCACAAATTTTTATATTTTGTATTTTCATGATCATTCATTTGAAAATGTTTTCTACTGCTTTCTCACCTATGAGAGATACATATTTGGCTTCCTGTAGTTTGGTCAGAATATCGGAGTTTTAAAAATATCTCGTATTTGGATGGGAGACCACCTAGGAAGACCAGGTGCTGTAGGCATAAAAAATAAGAGATTGTAAGCTGACAAGGAAGGTCCTTGCAATCTGTGAGATCAAACAAGGGTTGCCTCACCTTAAAAAAAAATAATAAATAAAATATCTCATAGTTAATGATTTCTATTTCTCTTATGCAACATACTCTATATGGTTTCATTCTTTTGAAATGTATAGAGACTTCTTTTTTGAACACTTGAAAACAAACGTGTGATTCTCATTTGTTGGTTGTATTGTGCTATAATAACAGGTAAAGGTGGCTAGTAGCATTTTTCTAATCTGTCTTGGAAGAGTTTTTGGTCTTTGTTATTTGCTGAGAGTTGATTATCTCTTCCTATGATCTCGGAACTGTCTTTTAATTTTGCTTTAAAAAAATATTTTGAAGCTTTTATTAGGTACATAAACATTTATGTTTGCTATTTTTACCTGATGAATTGACCTTTCATTACTATGAAATATTTTTTACCTTTGGTAATTCTATTTCTCTTGGCAGGTGTTTTATCTAGTATTAATATAACCATGCCATCCTTCTTAGCCTTGTTATTTACATGTTAATATCTTTTCCCTTTAACCTATTGGTATCTTTATATTTACAATTTTTTTGTAGAAAGCTTTTAAATGGGCCTTGCTTTTTATCCACTCTGGAAATCTCTGCTTTTTACTTGCATTCTTGTAATGCTGCATTGCTGTAAACTGTTGCATTACTTATAACTATTGGCAGTTAAAATCATTCATTTAAGTTGGGTTTGCTTCTTTCATTTCACTTTCTTCTTTTATGTTTGTTCCCTCGATTTCTTGGTTTTATGTTTCTCCTTACCTGCTTCCTCCCCACCCCCTTGATATTTGATCTATTTTATTTTACTTTTTAGCTATTCTTTTCATTTTTTTGTTCAGTGGTGGTTCTAGGGATTATAGTATACACCTTTAATTTTTCACACTGAAGTATCAGTTAATATTATACTAATTCATATAAAATTTAGAAAGTTTACAATTATAGGTCTAAATCTTATCCACCCATGTCCTTTATATAATATTGTTACATGTGTTAGAGCTATGTTATTAACTCCACAAGATGTTACTTTGCCTTAGACAGGCCTATATATTAGAATATAATAATAATTGTTTATTTACACATATATTTACCATTTCTGATGCTCTTCTTTACTTTCTCTGGATTGTTTTCATGTATCGTCATTTTCTTCTAGGCCAAAAAACTTCGTCTATCATTTCTTATAGTAAAAGTCTGGTGGAGATGAATTTATTTTACCTGAAAATATTTTTTTATTTCATTTTTAAAGGGCATTTTTGCTGGATAGAGAATTAATAGGTTTGCTCGCCCTTTTAAAAAAGTGAAATTCTGTTCTCTTCTTGCCCCTCCATTTTTTCTGATGACAGATCAGCTCTCAATTGACCCACTATTCCCCTGCATATAATTTATTGTTTGCTCTTTTTAAGATTTTCTTTTTATCTTTGACGTCCTAATATAGTTTGATCATGATATACCTCTGCATGATCGCCTTTATATTTATCCTGTTGGAGCATCTTGAACCTGAAGTGAATTTAGGAAGTTTTTATTTTTATTTCTTCAGAGTAATTTTTGGTTCATTCTCTGTTCTCTCCTTCAGGGGATCCAATTCCACGTAGGTTAGTTAATTTCTTTTTATATATAGGTCCTTGATGGGCTTTTGATTTTTCTTTTTCTCTTTAGTCTTTACATTGGATAATTTGCTTTTCTGTGTCGAAGTTCATTTTCTCTTTCTTTTGTCATCTTCATTTAATTATTAGTTCAATCCATTGAATTTTATATTAGATACTATATTTTCCAGTTTTAGATTTTCTATTGGGTTCTTTTTTATTATTTCTCTTTCCTGTTGAGATTTCTTGTTTTTTATTATTCATGAGCTTATTTTGTTTTAGTTGATGATAATTAGAATAGGCACTGTAAAATCCTTGTCTGTCATTTCTAGCATCTTTGTCATTTTGAGTTTGGTCTCAATTGATTTTCTTTTTTTCTTGAGAATGTGTTCTATTTTCCAGGATCTTTGTATGTTGCATAATATTGTGTTGAGCACATTATGAAAATTATGCTAACTCCTGATTCTGTTATTTTCTTAAGAGTTTTTTTTCTCTCTTTATCTCAGGTGGTTATCTTTATTGGATTTTGAATTGCAAACTCTGTTTCTTCAGGTGGCAGTTTAAGTATCAATTTAGGTCTTTTGTCTTTAACATAGTTGTTTTGAGTGTAACTTGTATACAGGAGTCAGCCAGACAGGTGGGTAGACAGAATTGAGGGTTCCCCTCTGTGGTTCTTTACTTTCTGGGATTTCTCTTGAGTAGGATCTAATTTCTCTTGATTTCAGTCTTCTGGTTTCCTTCCTTTCCTCCCTCCCACCCTTAATATTAATTTTTTATAAATTTTTCAATTACTGTTGACATACAATATTATAAAAGCTTCAGGTGTACAACAAAATGATTAGACATTTGTATAACTTGTGAAGTGATCCCCCCGTAGGTCTAGTACTCATCTGACATTATATTATACATTGTTATTACAATATTATTGACTATATTCCCAATGTTGTACTTTATATCCCCATGACTATTTTTATACCGTCCAATTTGTAATTCTTAATCCTTTCCCTTTAAAAATATGGTACACTTTACTAATTTGCTTGTGATCCTTGCACAGGGGCCAAGGTAATCTCTGTATCGTTCCAATTTTAATATATGTGCTGCCGAAGCGAGCACAGCCTTCTGGTTTTCTGCATCAGAAGGATTCTGCTTTTTCTATCATTGACCCACTATCATGTGCTATGACTGGCACCAAATTAATAGCTGTGAAAAATGAGAATTAATTTCTATAACTTTCTTCCTCTGAGCATGACCTTCTATATAAGTTTCCTGTTGCTGCTTTAAAACCACAAATTTAGTGGCTAAAACAACACAGATGTAATTATCTCAGAGACTTGGAAGCCAGAGGTCAAAATGAATTTTAGGGATTAAAATCAAGTTGTCAATAGGGCTCATTCCTTTTGGAGGCTCAATTGCAGAATCTGTTTTCTTGTCTTTTCTAGCTTCTAAAAGCTGCCAGCATTCCTTTGTCTCATGGCCTCATATCATGTTGCCTTTTCCCCCACATTGCATTCTTTGGCTTTTGACTTTCTCAACTCCTTCTTATTACGGACTCTTGTGATCATATCTGGCCTACCTTGATAATCCAGGGTAACCCTCTCACCTTATCATCCTTAATTTAATCACAACTACAAAGTATCTTTTGTCATGGAAGACAGAGGTCCACAAACCCCAAGCTGCAGACCAATACCTGGTCCATGACCTGTTAACAACTGGGCTGCACAGCAGGAGGTGAGTGGTGGGTGAGTGAGTAAAGCTTCATCTGTACATGCAGCAGCTCCCCAGCACTAACAACACTGCCTCAGCTCCACCTCAGATCATCAGACATTAGTTAGATTCTCATAGGAGCACTGGTTCCTGGTGCCAAAAATTTTGGGGGCCATCGATAAGATAAATATTCTCAGTTCTAGGCATTAGAATGTAGACACCTTCAGGGCTGTTATTCAGACTACCATATCTCCCCAGGAGAAGCCGCTTGTTTTTGTTTACTCTTTTTCCTCCCTAATTACAGTTGACAATATTACATTAGTTTCAGGTGTACAGCAATAGTGGTTAGACATTTATATAACTTATGGAGCAATCCCCCCGCCAATAAGTTTAGTACCCACCTGGCAGCATACGTAGTTAATACAATATTATTGACTGTATTCCTATGCTGTACATTATTTCCTTGTGACTGTTTCGTAACTAATAATTTGTACTTCTTAATCCCTTTATCTCTTTTACTCAGCCCTCCAACCCCCCTCCCATCTGGCAACCATCAGTTTGTTCTCTGTGAGTTTGTTTTGTTCATTTATTTTGAGATTCCATATGAAAGTGAAATCATATGGTATTTGTCTTTCTCTGTCTGACTTATTTCACCTGGTGTAATACTCTCTAGGTCCAACCATGTTGTCACATATGCTAAGGTTTCATTTTTTTTTTTTTAGTGGCTAAGTAGTATTCCATTGTGTATATGTATCACTTCTCTATTGATGGACATTTAGGTTGCTTCCATATATTGGCTATTGTAAATAATGCTGCAGTGAACATAAGGATGCATATATCTATTCGAATTAGTGTTTTGGAATTCTTCAGATAAATACCTACAGTGGGATTGCTGGTTCATGAGATAGTTCTATTTTTAATTTTTTGAGGAACCTCCATACTGCCACCAACAGTGCACAAGGGATCCCTCTTCACATCCTTGCCAATACTCGTTTGTTAATTTATTGATAGCCATTCTGACAGGTGTGAGATGATATTTCATTGTGGTTTTAATTTGCATTTCTCTCGTGATTAGTGACATACAGCATCTTTTGGCCATCTGTATCTCCTTTTTGGAGAAATGCCTATTCAAGTCCTCTGCCCATTTCTTTTTTAGATTGTTTGTTTTGTGTGTGTGTGTTGAGTTATAGGAGTTCTTTATAAATTTTGGATCTTAACCCTTTATCAGATGTATCATTGACAAATATCTTCTCCAGTTTGGTAGGATGTCTTGTTTTGTGGTTGGTTTCATTTGCTGTGCATAAACTTTTTAATTTTATGTAATACCATTTGTTTATTTTTTGTTTCCTTTGCCTGAGAAGATATATCAGAAAAAAATATTACCAAGAGCAGATTCAGAGTTTACTGCCTATGTTTTTTCTTCTAGGAGTTTTATGGTTTCTGGTCTTACATTTAAGTCTTTAATCCATTTTTAGTTTATTCTTGGATATGGTGTAAGAAGGTGATCTGGTTTAAATTTTTTGCATGTATCTGTCCAGTTTTCCCAGCACTATTTATTGAAGGGACCTTCTTTACCCCATTGTATATTCTTGACTCCTTTGTCATAGATTAGTTGACCATATAGGTGTGAATTTATTTCTGGGCTCTCTGTTTTGTTCCACTGATCTGGGTGTGTCTGTTTTTATGCCAGAATCATGCTGCTTTGATTATTATAGCCTTGTAATATTTTGATATCAGGTATTGTGATGCCTCCAACTATGAACTTCTTTCTCAAGATTGCTGTGGCTGTTCGGGGTATTTTATGGTTCCACATAAATTTTAGGATTATTTGTTCTAGCTCAGTGAAAAATGCCATTGGTATTTTGATAGGGATTGCATTGAATCCATAGATGGCTTTGGACATTTTGTATGGACCATTTGATTGTTAATTCTTTCTATCCATGAGCATGGTACGTGCTTCCATTTGTTTGCATTTTCTTCAGTTTCTTTTTTCAGTGTCATAATTTTCTGAGTACAAGTCTTTTACCTTTTCGGTTAAAAATGACAGTTGTACTTTTCCTTTCCAATTTGGATGCCTTTTATTTCTCTTTCTTGTCTGATTGCTGTAGCTAGGACTTCCAATACAATCTTGAATAGAAGTGGATGAAAGTGGGCATCTTTGTCTTGTTCTCGATCTTAAGAAAAACTTTTAGTCTTTCCCAATTGAGTATAATTTTAGCTGTGGGCTTGTCATATGTAGCCTTTGTTACATTGAGGTATATTCCCTCTATCCCGACTTGGTTACACGTTTTTATCATAAATGGATGTTTCTGTATCTCTCAATATGATATGATTTTCATCCTTCACTTTGCTTATGTGGTATGTTATGTCAATTGATTTGTGCATATCGAACCAGCCTTACATCCCAGGAATGAATCCTACCTGATTGTGGCATATGATCTTTTTAATGTATTGGTAAATTCAGTTTGCTAATATTTTATTGAGAATTTTTACATTTATGTTCATCATGGATATTGGCCTGTAATTTTCTTTCTCTGCAGTGTCTTTATCTGGTTCTGGTATCAGGGTAATGCTGGCCTAATGAGTTTGAGAGCCATCCCTCCTCTTCAGTTTTTTGATATAGTTTGAGAAGAATAGGTATTAATTTTTTGAATATTTGATTAAATTCACCTGGGAAGCTATCCCGTTCAGAGTTTTTGTTTGTTGGAGTTTTTCGATTTGCTGATTATGTTTTGTTAGCAGTCATCAGTCTGTTCAAATTTTCTGTTTCTTCCTTATTCACCTTGGGTAGATTGTACATTTCTCAGAATTTATATATTTCTTTATGGTTATCCAATTGTTAGCATATAACTGTTCATAGTAGTTCCTGATAATCCTTTGTTTTTCTGTAGTGTCAGTGTTATTTCTCGTCTTTCATTTCTGATTTTATTTGGGCTCTCTGTCTTCTTTTCTTCATTTTAGCTAAAAGTTCATCAATTTTGTTGATCTTTTCAAAGAACCAGCTCTTGGTTTCATTGATATTTTATTATTTAGTCTTAATTTCATTTTTTCCTCTGGTCATTATTTTTTTTCTACTCATTTCGGGCTTTGTTTGTTGTTTTTCTTGTTCCTTTAGGTGCAAGTTCAGTTAGATGGTTTATTTGAGATTTTTCTTGTTTCTAGGGGTAGGCCTGTATTTGTTCTAATTTTCTCTGGAAGATCTGCTTTGACTGTGTCTCAGATTTTCGGTTATTGTATTTTCATTTTTGTTTGTCTCAAGGTATCTTCTGATTTCTTCCTTGATCTCATTGTTATTGCATTCATTGTTTAGTAGCATGTTATTTAGCTTCCACATGTTTGCATGTTTTTAAGTTTTCTTCTGGTAATTGATTTCTAGTTTTGTCCCTCTGGTCAGAGAAGACACTTGATATGATTTCAATCTTAAATTTATTGAGAGTTGTTTTGTGACCTAACATGTGGTCTATCCTGGGAAATTTTCCATGATGCTTGAAAATAATGTATATTCTGTTGCTTTTGGGTGAAATGTTTAAAAAATCTCAGTTAAATTCATCTTGTCTAATGTGTCATTTTAGGCCCCTATTTCCCTGTTGATTTTCTGCATGCACGATTTATCCAATGTTGTTGGGGTGTTAAAAGTTCTCTACAATTACTGTGATACTGTAGATCTCTCCCTTTATGTCTGTAAATATTTACTTTGGGTGTTAAAAGTTCTCTACAATTACTGTAATACCGCCAATCTCTTCCTTTATGTCTGTAAATATTTGCTTTGTATATTTAGGTGCTCCTATGTTGGGTGCATAAATGTTTACAACGGTTATATTCTCTTGTAGGCTTGATCCTTTTGTCATTATGAAATGTCTTCTTTTGTCTTTTATTATAGCCTTTGTTATAAAGTCTATTATTTCTGATATAAGTATTGCTACCTTGGCTTATTTCTTCATTTGCATTTGCATGAAATATCTTTTTCCATCCCTTTACTTTCAGTCTCTGTGTGTCTTTTGATCTGAGGTGGGTCTCTTGTAGACAGCATATGTATGAGTCTTTTTTCTTTTCTATTCAGCTATCCTTTGTCTTTATTGGAATATTTAGACCATTTACTTTTAAAACAATTATTGATAAGTAGGTAGTTATTGCCATTTTATTATTCATATTTATGTCCTTTTCGATTTTCTTCTTAAAGAAGTCTCTCTAACATTTCCTATAATACTGGCTTGGTGATGATGGACTCCTTTAGTGTACTTTTGTCTGGGAAACTCTTTATCTTTTCATCAATTCTAAATAATAGCTTTGCTGGATAAATTATTCTTGGTTGTATACCCTGAATCTTAATCCTGGCACAAAAAGAAAAGTTTCTGTTGAGCTGACAATATTATGGAAACTTCCTTGTAGGTAGCTAACTGCTTTTCTCT